AAGTATTTTCATGAATAAAGTTTCAACAAAATTTTATCCCGCACATATTTAATCTTGTATAAACTTTGACAGATTTTTAATTTTCTTTCTGTTATTATTTTTTTCTACATCGCTGTTCAATATGAATTCAAAAGTTGTGAAAAAATAGCGTTTAATCAAATTTTTGGTTATGAAAAAGTTAATTTCAAATTAATAATAAAATTTCTCTGTTTCTCTTTATAATTATCTTTTTTATTTTTATCTATATATTTTAGTAAAATTCCGTAAATACGTATAAAAGAATATTAAAAATACTCATTAAAAATACTAATATTAAAAATTTATTTATAAACTCCGGCAAAGTGAAACTCGTTCATTTAAATATCTTATACACGAAGGCGACTAAATTTTTGCAGCAGTCCGTATAGGTTGATTTACTATGATGAATCTTTCATAGAGTAGCGACGAATTACATTTGAGAACGGCAAAAATCAAAATTAATTAATTTCTTTCCATACAAAAATCGTCATGGTCTGAGCTTTGGAAATGCAGCATAGAAATCCATACGATATATAATTGATATGTTAAAGCACTTGTAATAGGATTTAGCCGGCAGAATAATAGACATCTTAACCACGTTCTTGTACACCTGTTATATAAACTTTTTAATCGCGTGTAGCAAATATTGAGCATTAAAATAATTATTATAATTATTACAATAATATAATTATAATATAATAATAATTAATTTTCTTCTTTGTATTAATTTATTCTATTGTATAATCCTTCATTATTGAGATAAAATAGCAATTTTTAGTAGTCTGAATTTAAGAAAATTTTTAATAATCTTTATTTCCGCGTTTCTTATTTAGAACTTAATAAATTTTATTTTATTATTTGCCGCTTGTGTATATAATACAGAATTCAAGAGCTTCGAAAAATATCAGACATTGCACTCAATAACTTAAATCGGGTAAATACGATAATACGGGAAAACATTTCCGTAATAATAGTATATATGATACATACCAACAGCGATTTGCAGAGATGTCGTTCCCTATAATAGATGAAACGGATGACACACTATAAATAGCTATTATTTATTAATTATAGAACACCGGAATAATCGTTCCAGTTGACCATCATCGTACTCGAGAGAGATTATTAATACCAAATTCGTATGGTTTATTAGGAATTTATGATTGCGATGCGCGGTCATAATTTGCCGTCTATTTTGCAATTATCACCGCAAAGCAGTTATAATTCCCGAAGTTTCCAATCGTGAAATATTGGCGAATAAAATTGAAAGCCATTTAATCCTGTCTGATGGTGAGTGTATTTATGTGCTCCCCCCTGAGATTTAGAAGATTTAATGCACAAGCAAGAGTTGTACAAAAGTAAAAGAAAAAGCGATATTCTTTATCGAGATCGAATTTATTTTCATGATCATTTTTGAGATGCAGAAAAGTGGCTATATGAAAGAGACGGATAGCGTAATAATTTCAGTAACATCGAATCTATTGCATTTGCATCAGCGCCAGCGTGACGAATAAGCAGACTAACGTTTGCATATTTTCTTGGGATAAAAATCTCCTTGTGTTTTAAGGATGATCGTTAAGGAAAATCAAATTCTTTCAGTAGCGACTTTTTCCGGCTTTCGTAAGCCCGTGGTAATTATGGGACACTTCATAAGTTTCTTCATGTAGCTGTTTCTTTATGAAATGTATCTTTAAGGAGTGGATCGACTTCCCCTCTCGGCCACTTTTCCTGCTTTCGAAGAAAGTATATCCTTGAAAGCACGACCGTCTATTAATTTTCAGACAGCAATGACACAGTCCTTAACTGCGCGCTAACGCGATTACAACTTTCTGTATAATCAGAGTTTCTCGAGAGAAGGATACAGAGATACACATAACCGGGCTCGCGTCTAGAATTTGTCCCGGACTTCGCCCGGACAAGGACGGGATATCTTCAGGCGCGTGGCTCTTTTAGACGAGCTCCTTTCTATTTTTTTTTTTTGCGCGTTCGTGGATTTTTGGGACGAGCCAATTTGGCTTTGTTTCATTTTTCATTTAGTCTTCCTCTTTCCCCTCTTATCCCTTCGCCGCGAACTCATTTTTCACTTAACCCGTCTCCCGATCTATATCCGATCCACAAGCCAAGGGAAAGCGATTTTCACCAGCAAACGCGGGTTCTCCTTTTTTTTTCTTTATGGATCACGTACGTTAACCTGTCGAACGCCCTTAAATAATAGTGGAGTTAATTTCGATCTCGCAAGAAAAGATGGTGAACGGGCGGTGTATATATATACGGGCTTCTCTCTCTCTTTCTCTCTCTCTCCTCTCTATCAAAAAATTATAGGATTTTTTATTATATTTATTTCTCTTAGCAACTCATGGTCTTCACATTTTACGCATGTTCACCGATTTTCTTTTAATATATTACACAAAATCTGTATACATTTAACGTGTTTTTCGTGAAATCATAAACATATAATACTAATCGCGAATATATTATCACATGTTTTTAAATACTAAGACACTATCCTGTTCATCGACACAATTCAAATGAGATAGCGATTTCCCGTCGAAGGTATAAGGCTTGTCTGGTAAAGTAGTCATAAATTCAACGGGTATCGCGAATGTGCGTGCGATGCTCGGGAGGAAATGTAACGCCGTCGCATCCTCGAATGAGAGGATGCCTTTGATACCTTTGCCCTACCGTGACGGTAATCATGGAAACGTACCAAATCTCGCTATCCAATAGTAGAAGATACCGGAGAACAATGCTCTCAGCATCACAGCGATAAAGGTCGATTCAATTATCGTACTGGAGACCTTTGCTCGTTGCACTCCGCATCTACTTTTGTGCTTCGGGATCCAGTTTATTTCTTAGATTGGTCACGGACTATTGTTCTGATCGAATAAGCGGAAAATGTGTGCAACGATGTGATATCGCTATTGATTAAATGAAATTAGTTGAGTTCTAGAATTGACCGATAAATCGAAAATGTGTGCGCAATAATAATAATTTTGTGTTATAAAATGCTGGCATTAATTACACATTTCTAAAATAATATTTTTATTAAATTTAATATTACGACGTTACTTATAATCTGACACTTTTAATGTTTTATTGTGTTACTCCTAATAATAATAATAATACGTATATTCTAATGAAGTCGAATCTTTCTATCCTTCTTAATAAAAGTTTAATGAGATGTCTAATCAGAATTGTTTAACAACAAAAAGTAGAAAAGTTTCTAGTGCATCAAAATTCTATAATACATGAGTAACAAAAACTCATTTATCAAGTTTAGCAAATAGACTTTAGTAGAAGATCAACATTTTGAATTCAAGTGTGCGCTGAAACGATGACAAATGATGATCCATCATCTAACTATGACTAAATAGAAATTAGCTTCAAACTCATCAATTATTCGTCAAAATCCGTCGCTCATTGGAATGCTGAATAGATATTGTTTAATGTTTCAAAAATAATATTTTTGTAAATTTAATGTATGTGGAAAAAGAGGGAATTATAAATATATTTGATAAATATAAATCCTCAAGTTATAAATAAATTACTTCACATACAAACAGCTCGTCAACAAACTGTTGCGAAAAGATAAAGTTAAGTCATTATTCGTAGACATCGAGAAGCAAAACGGCGTATTGAAGTAATTCCTCAATTGTCACAGGTCGGGGAGCTTTCCAAACTTTTCGTTGTTGCTGACTCTTTAACCGGGAAAGTTTTCTTTTGTCCCTCTTAATTTTTATATATATAAGCAATAAATTTCTAAATTTTTCTCTTAATAAATTTTGAATTAATTATTATACAAATAAACATACATCTTTCCGCAATATATTTTCGAGTGACAACATAAAGACGAGTTAAAAGATTAGATTTTGTTATTTAATTCTTTTGTTATCAGGATATAAATATATTTCTCTCCATTGTTGCGTCGTATCGTGGCATCATTATTCACTTCATCCTTTATTCACCTTTCAACAAACTGTACGAAAGCACAGCGATATCAATCGAACAAAAATTAAAAAGTTCCTCAGAAAGTTAATATCAACGTCGCGTCTTTTGCCACCGAATATAAAAGCCGCGCTCATCGATCAACAAAAACGACGTACAAACTTTTTCGGAACCTCGAAAGATCTCGATAACAGCGCCGCACGAACGGCCAAGGGCGAAGTCGATAATGCATTCTGATCCAAAAGCCACGGCTTGAAATGCTAACGATACCGCAATAAAATGGGACTATCAATAGTCTCTTTTCGATACAAAGTATGGTATGGATATTTCGATCGTGATATTGAAATCGATTCAAGAGTCGAGCTGGCTAATATTTCAATATCTGCATAATTCTAGACGACGAGAATAATATTAGTAAATTATAGTTTTTAGTAAACTATCGATAAGCTTCGATATTTTTCTTCTTAAAAGTTAAAAGTTAAAAGTTAATTTTATAATCAATAAATTTATCGCGAATTAATACAAATCCCTAAAAAATTAGATAGATTCTTTACAAATTACATTCGTATGGAAAATTGACTTCTAATTTAGATTATCTGTGTGTCTGGAATAAATACATATATAAAAAAAAAAATTACTTTATATAAATATTTATATATTATTGTACTGTGTTTTTAACGGATTGTTCACATTGCGCATCGACGCTCGTGCAAGCGTATCTGGGTAATGCGCAAGTTTCTGCCTGTCACGCGGAAATGCAGATTGCCTCCTTCGTTCGTCCTGGCTTGCGAGACCGGTGCAAATTACCAGAGCTTTTTATCCTTTGAAACAGCGCACATCCGCGCGGCGTGGCGCCTTTGCGATTAAATCAGAGGCTCGGCCGTGCCTCCTATAGCCTCTCCCCCTCGCTTTTCCCGAAGTCGCTTTCCCGCGTCCACCCGTATCGCGCTCGCGCTTCGCGGCGAGCTTGCGCGCCTCGTCCTGCACCCGGAGGTCTCCTCCGCGGAGGAGGACCATCAGGATTCCGATCAGTTTACCGGCGTCCCTCAGTCTGTGCGGTCGCGTTCGGTATTCGAGTCCGGTCCGTTGAATCACGTGCATCCTTGACGAAGGGAACAGGCGATGTCGGCATTACCGTTCCTCGAGCGTGTCACTGCGGTGTCATCGTCGTTTTCCCGAGATGTGTGAAAGTCCTCCAGGATTACCGCTGCAGGTTTGCGAATCTTTTCATTCATACCGATCGCATTCAAGTGGGTATTGCGGGGAAAAAATTAATTTCATGGCAAGCGCGCTTCGAAATTTTCCAAAATTAAAATAATAAACTCGCCTATCTTTATATAATAAAAAGCATAAAAAAATTCACCCCTTCTGGCATTGAACAATCTTCTTGAGTTAATATATGTGTGTGTGTGTGTAGCAGAATGGAAATTTTAAATCAACTAAAATCGTGTTTTTTGTATTTTAAGAATAAAGAAATTTCACATTTTTGTTTAAGTAAACTTTCAGTAATTTGCGCTACAAATTGTTGAATTTTAATTCAGTTGTAATCATAATAATTTTTATCTTCTTGTAAGAAAAGTAAGTTGCTTTCTACGCAATCGTGATGAAAATTTTCGCATCTTTGAACAATTCATGAAACGTGCAAAAGTTTTGAAAGGTTAGCATCACAGTTTCGTGAATTTTCATTCAGATCAGCTACGGTGATGTTTGATCTCATCCCGTGAGAAAGGCACTTTTCATGCGAATGCCGTCAAGAATTTCGCTTCGTCGAGCAGCCCTTTGGGATCAACGCGTTGCGGGTTAGCGAATTTTAATTCCGAATAGTTACATCGAGGTCTGTGTTCTTGTAACGAGACAAAGTTACTTTTGAATATGTGTTGGAGCATTTGCATAGTCGTGTTAAAGTTCTTCAGGATCGTCAGATCAAATTCGAAAACTTTATTTGTAATTAATAACACTAATATCGTTTTTATACATTAGAAAGTTTATTTTTTATACGAATCTGTGTATAAAATAAATGTGCAAAAATTTTTTTTAATTCATCAATTTTTAATTTATAATTATAAAATTGTCAGTGTTTATCTTATTGTCAATGAGAAAAAAAAATTTTTAAACAGATAGATTCTCAAACAGTTTTTGACAAATGCAAAGACTTCTTTAAAAAATTGTTGTAATAAGTTTGCATATTTTAAATTACATGAATCAAAATTTATTTCTGTGCTGAAAGATAGAAGGAAAAGTTATATTAGAATTATAATAAACTTTTAACTGAAGCTCTCGATATATCCAACAAAAAGATGTTCATTGCAGTTTCCAAGAGAAGTCGATATACTTAATTTATTGCTGGAAACGTATATTACTTCGCAATGATTAATGCAAATCAAATGCGGTTATCGATTCGTCGATATGAGAAAGGCAAGAGATCCGCAAACGCTTTTTATTAATCCACGTCTCGCGACTGCGAAACGACTTCGGTTCGCGCCAGTTCCCATAATATCGCTCACATTGCGGCAAGAAACAAATTAATTTCACCGGCGCGAGGCGTGGAGAACCAGGCTAGTTCCCGTAAGTTTTTAATGAAAGTTTCGATTTTCGGGCGTTGAGCATCATCGAAAAGTTCTCGTAGAGTTGAAACACGACAACTTTGTACATATATACATATATATCTTTCCCTCTATTTATTCGTTTCATTTCTAGCGACCATTCTTGCGGTTAAACTTGAGTCTCAGATTTTGTGGAATCTTTTGCGACGGAAAAACAATATCGATTATAAAATGTGAATTTTTCTACTGCTGTCACTTGCAACGATATCCAAATCGTGTCGCGATTCTTTAAAAAAAAAATTTAACCGAAAGGAGAGCCATGTGATTAATTTGGTTCCTCGGTCACCAAAATGGATGAGAGATACCTTATGAGAGAGAATTTCTGCGAGAATAATTGGATTGGTACTTGAGCGGGATATTCATCGTTATCTCTTTTAATTGAGACATTGACATACACATGCATCCGTTGCACATCCTCGTACTTACGTTTTTTTATGTAAAGCGCAGTTCGACAGCGCACTCGACCACGTGCGCTTACGATAGAAAGAAAAAAAAGAGAGATACGCTATTTATTCCACAATTCATTGCATCACAGATTTGGTTAATAACAAATTGCAACCGATCCGTCCTCTCCTTTCTCGTGTTATCGAACTGGCAATCGTATCCGATTTGCATAAATTGCCGTTGCTACAAAGGGTGTGTGTATGTCGTGGAGGGAACGTTAAGTTCCTCGCGATGGGTTCCCCGTATTAGCGACATTTAATCGCCGATGTCGGCCGGGGAAGCAAACCAGGGCAATTACCGGCGATCTTTGTACCGACATGCGAGCAGCGAAGCGATATTCTCGAATGAATATTCCACAAGTGTTCCGAGTGTTCCACAATCGATTTCGAATCGCTTCGGTTATTGAAGGGTCGGCAAACCGATAACTCACCGAAATCACAGCCGAAAAAAAAAGAAATGAATGTTAAAAAAGAAGAAAGAGAACTACATTTTCACACTCGTGATAATAGGCGGAAATCTGAAAAATGAAATCTAGGTCAAAATTTTGGTACTACTGCATCGTGCTTATTGCACCTCTGAAAAATAATTTGTTGACGCGACGTCTCTCACGTACCAATGTCTGAATGACTTCCATCGCTTTCGATGGAACGCTTCGCATATTCTCGTGTGCATCGACCATTTTCTTTGACGGCGGAAAATCAATTTTCAATCGTTCGCGTTCGAGTCACTTGACATTTAATGGGCTGCATATTCGCGAACTGATCCACGAGAGATTAACTCATCGCCGGAAGTGCGTACATTAGCGACAAGCCGATCGCGGCCTTTCATATACACACACACATATACACATGGAAGATTCGACGATAAAACCTACAAACGCGAATTATGCGCCATGCGAGTAATCTCCGATTTGTCTTATCTTAATTCCGTTCTTTTTTCTTACGGCTTAACACGTCCGCTTAATACTTTATTAAGCGTTTAATAGATGTAGATTATCGGCGAATATATATTTGAAGCGCGCAATTTTATCAACTGCAAATTATTGGCCGCACACATAAAAACGTCGCGATTTACGGTCAATTTCGCTTATTCATTTCCAATGTATGTCGAGAATTCGACGAAACAATTTACTACTTATAGAATTTATTTGCGAGAGAAAATAATGGAAACAGCGAGGCATGAAAATTACATACTTTGTGCCTATATTCGCGAGATTATTGTATAACATAATAGCCGTGAAATGCAATGACGCGGTTTTAACAGATATTCTTTATCAGGATGATTGCCGGAACTGAAATGCGCAAATATTTGGATAGGTAGAAACTAAGTTCTTCTACATCTATTCTACTCGGGTACTTCATGTAACGTGGATAATGGTGTTTCTTCAGTATACATTGTTATCAGCTGACTACGAACTTTGTTAGAAAAATCTACGGTCAAGTTAACCGGATCAATTAACCTTCAACTTGTTACATTTAAATTTACTAAGGTAATTTAAAGTACTGTAAATATTTATACAAATCTTTCCGTGTTTCTCGAGAGAAAGAAAAAAGATATGTCATATTATCACCGCGTCTCGTTCAACAGCTTAATTAATTCTGAAATATTTAAATACGAATATAGCTACAATAGTATTAAGACGCTTTCCGCATAATATAATCCGCGAAAACAGCATTCTACCATTTCCCGGATTACGGTAATGGAAAATATTTATTTTCTTACTACGCAGCTTCATTTTTAATCATATCTGAAATTGTCGGACAAAAATGCTCCCGTGCGGTCGTTTTCTTCATATTTCCACTAGCAACTGTGCAGAGTCGTAAGAAATTGTTTATGGAAAAGATTCTTTTGCACGGCAGAATCTACAGGAAAAGAGGGAGAGAAAGAAAGAGAGTACATTTCCACAACGCTGCAATTTCTTCATCTCAGTGTAATAGAGCATCTGATCTGGCGTAAAAAGATACACCTTTTCAATGATGCAAACGGCGAAAAAATCGTTCAAAGCGATCATTAGCGCGCATGTACTTATGCTGTATTTATTACGAAGTTGTTAATAACTCTCTGCGAGCGCACGTCTGTAACGGGACGAGGAGCTTCCGCGTCTCGTAAAACGAAAATTGATTACCCTTGAAGCACTTTCGGTCCATCGTGCCGGTGCGTTTCCGCGCGTCCGACGCCAGATACGCTTATTTTTCTCAAGATAGCGCTTTGAGGATCGTCCATGCCGTCGTGGAAATCGTCTCGCGGAAGGCACGTTTCATTTGAAAATTCTTTCTCGCGCCGTCATTTATCGCGACAATTGTTTCCCCGCAGATGACGACGGACGGCGTCTTCCTTCCACTCCAATGTCCGTTTTCGAGGATTCAAGACGCAGTCCTTCGTTCCCGTTTCTTTTTTTTTTTTTTTTACGGGCAGTCCTCAGAGATATATCAAGCACTTCTTCGGAGGTGCGACTCGAGTTTTTGAGACTCTGTGGAACGCTGAGGATGCACATTAAGCCGCTAATGGTGCCAGTGGGTCAGTAATCAAATTTAACGATTTCGAATTGCTTAGGTTTCCGTCGCGAAACGAAAGTTCTGATTACACGGAGAAAAATAGTTTTACGTTTAATCTTGCATAGATCACATAAATTGGACCAATTGTTATTGATTTGCATGAATCGGGCTGATCAATTTCCCGAAGAAAAATTGTTCTTCTTAATCTCACATCCATTATTATCATTATTAGATTTTTTTTCGATTAAGATGTGCTTCTGGAAAAATTCAGTTTATATAATATAATTTTTTATCTTTTAATGTCTCACATTCTCTTTTCATAACAAATTCTTGTAAAAAAAGTGATATCTTTGTAGCCAATAATGCAATTGATATCCTTATTACATGCGATGTATTGAAAAACAGGAAATCATTTAACGATATTAATTTAATTTTATTATAAACATGGTGATTTATTTTCGTAATAATTGATTCAATTATATACTGCAACAAAATCTTGTCTGAAAAAAACAGATAGATAATTAAGATAATTCTAAACTTGCTAAAATATTTCTCAATATTACATTTGTTATCAATATCTTTTTAAGAATTAAATATCGAATTGTCTCTGCTTCATCCAGGTTGTCTATAATTTGAAGCGGGAAATTTTGTATAATTTACGTATTAATAAT